TCTATTTTAATTTACGTGGTTAGGTTAGCCAAAATCCGATGCGTTGCTATTCATCGCTTGGCTTTGATCATAGTTTAATATTCATACACTTCGGTATAGGTAGACGTCCGCTTTCGGTCTCTCGTATTCATATGAGTAAAAGAGGGGAAGAGACAACGGAATAGAACATAAAACTTGATACTACGTTAACGCACAGTACTTAGCCTATAATTTGTTTCATTTACTAAACTCACACCTAACCAGCACGACTGACCGATTAACTGTAGCTGAGTGACCGATTTGTGTACCCATGGACGTGCCAGTGAGACACATTTTGATCACACTTTAGTCTCCTGGAAAACTTCAAACTTAGCCATACTTACTCAGTGCGGCGTTATGGCGCTTTGGGAGTCGATTTTCACTGAGCGAGGAGGATGTCTGCGACCGGTAAAACGCATTCACATCACGTGTTAAATCTGTAGTAGAAACGTTCCTCTGAAGTGTGTCTCACTGAGGTGGACAGATGCACACAAATCAGTCACTCGGAACGCTCCAACTAGCACTACGTCATGCACAAATTGGTAACTTGTGCTGATCGAGCGGTTGCGCCTTGTTCGTAACACTTCAATTCCTGTTTGAGCTTACAACTTATCTTAAACGGATCGTTATTACCCATTAAAGCCGAAGTGCCACCATCAGTCGCACGCATTCTACCCAACAATTTCGCTGAATCTGGACGGCGATGCGATTCAGGCTTTTCTGGGGCGTACCACATTTTACTAACTGCATAAGTCTACCATCACTGGACTTCGTACATTTCGTACTGGCTCCTTTATTGGGTTATGCGGCAGTCCTTCGTCTTCTCCGTCGACCATTAGTGTACTCGATTCTTGAACATTTTGCGTACTTCATAGTTGAAAACACCCAGTAAGGTGCACTACAACTCTCACTTGACCTGTTGTATTATACACAATTTTTGGGCCGGACACAATTTTCTCAAAAGTATGCTTCTCCTTGACATAAGGATTGCTATTGCAATCATACACTTTTAAACGCATCTAGTCTTCCCACCACTAAATGCTATGTCGTACATCGCTACTGTTAGTCATGTCCTTCAGGGCAAACCCTGTCCTCTGCAACGTTCCTAACTTGCATGGCCGTGGAGGATAAGACGCGCTATGCCGCAGTTAAATTGCAAATCATGAGAGTCCGAAGCTTTCCCCCTTGGCCCAGTGGCATAAGCTTCTGACTGATGGTGCAAGCCGCTGGTCGTCATGCATTCGAATCCTGATAGATCCGACGGATACGCACTACTGATGAGGCCCAACATGCTTGGAATGCATTCTAGTATTTTTCCGGACATGTGGGAGACTATCTGATTTGGAACTGGCTACGACGAAACCACAATTAATTAGAAATTCACTGAACTTTTCACACACGGAAACGAAAGATCTTTCCAACCTACGTGGCCCGGGACGGTCTCTGTTGATGTAGACATTGAAAATTTGAAGTGTGTCATCCATCTGCAAGAATCGGGCTCTGTACTCACTTTGTGATACACTTTAGATAACACAACCAGCACTTTCTCACTGGGCTTATCTGGAGACGATGCAGCTTCGGGCACCGGCCAATCTGGTGTTGGTATTGCCCTGAGTCCCCGAGCTGAAGCTGCTCTGGTGGATTGGATCCCAACCAACAGGCAGACATGTGCGGTTTAACTGGCTGGCTCCTTCAAAGCTTCGAAGTCGCGCGGAACTAATAGGTGTCCACTCGTCATACGTGCCTATGCACCCATAAACTCTAGCGACGATTCGGTAAAAGACGACTTCTATCGCCAACTGAACGATCTCCTTCGCCACAGCAAAAGCTCGGACACTTTTGTGCTGGCTGGGGATTTGAACGCTCAAGTTGGAAAATTATCCACTGATGAGCTGCATCTGGGTGGCCAACATGGTTAGGCTCCCGTAATGCTAACAGTGAGCAGTTACTTCATTTGTGTGAAGATGCTCGCTTATTTCTTGCGAGGGCCAACTTCCGACATAGCACGCGCCGGAAAGTGACTTGGAGCTCACCAGTCTCGGACCAGGTATGGACGCAAATCGATCACATTGCGATAACTTACCGCTAGAGAGGCTTCGTCCATAACTGTCGCTCGATTTGTGGCAGGTATGTGGACACCGACCATGCAATTATATGTGCTGACCTGCGGATGCTTTTTGGCGGACGCCCACAACGACGCCGTGAGTGCATTGACACCAGCCGACTGACGAAGTCAGCTTTTCGGAATGCTTATCAATGTACGCTGACATGCGAGTTGTATAAGTTGTTCACCAGATCTTACTAGCAGCAGGCAAATCTTCATGTGCTCGGTCTAATCGCCAATACGAACAGTGGCTCGCTACGCACTCGCTAGAACTTATCGATGCTCGATAACACATTTAGGCTGGAAGGAAAAACAATGAGACACGCAGAAACCTCCGATCAAAACTCTGTGCTAGCTTGAATAGAGACCGCGAAACCTAATGGTCTTGTGGTGCATCAGAGATGGAAATGGCTGCTGCCTTTGGTAACCGTCGTAAGTTATTCCGGTTGATACTGGAAACAGGCAACAGGAGACCCGGTGTTGGTGAAAATGTACGTGACGAGAGAGGACAGCCTATCCACAACTTGTCGAAACTCTAGGACTGTTTGGCTGATAACTTTGAATGGCAGTTTCATCGTTGGAATTGTCAGGTTTCTCGCCGGTCACTGATCGCCCCGCTCCGTGGGCTGTCTCTCTGGAGGAGTCCTCTCGCTCAGAAGTCGAACATGATATCGGAATGTTGAAGTTACCTAAAGCCACGGGAACAGATTACCTGTGTGCAGCCCTCTTCGAATCAGGGGGCCGTGCTCCTGTGGATACTTTACACGCGATATTATTGATACTGGGAGCAAGAAACTGTACCAACCGACTGGAGTCGCTCCGCCATAGTCCTAATTTTCAAGGGAGGCTGACGACCGGAATGCGGCAACCATAGATGAATCAGTCTGATCTCCATCGCCTCAAAATTGCTTCCCTCGGTTATCCTTAACAGGCTGACTGGCACTCGTGAAAGCCAGGGTCGTGAAGAGTATCTGGGTTTCAACGAAATCGAAGCTGTATCGACCACATCTTCAATTTGCATCAGCTGTTAGTGCATTGTTACACATATCGGTGGTCCACCGTTGTCCTGTTCCTCGATATCAAAGGTGCATTCGATTCGGTGGATAGAATTGCCTTTGGGACTGTCTAGTCAGGATATGTGTGCTCTAGAAATATGCAAGTATTATCAACGTACTGTACGCGCGTAGCCCTAGCAGAGTGAGGGCTTAGGGCAAGTTGCCGTCGCCGTTCCAAATCTCCAGCCGTGTGAGACAAGGGTGCTCGTTGTCCCCTTTCTTCTATAACTTTGCTATTTACAACATTATGGAGATCACTCACGTGGGTCACGAGTTGGAAGGTATGGATGTGCCCCCAGGAGAACTGCTTCTTGGCTTGTAGCAAAGAGACGATATTACTCTCATCTTTGGCTGCTCCCAGACGTGCCAAAGAGCACAAGACATATTAGCACTTGCTGTCAGCCACTTCGGGCGTGGTATTGTTCACTTAAAGTGCAGGTTCTCTCTAAGATTGGCATGAACCCTCTCCTGCGCTGTCACGTTGTGGGGATCAGCTAGAAATCACTCAATGATTCAACTACCTGGGATGTGTAACAGCGCTCTTGGGATCGAAGATGAGAGCACCAACCCAATAGCAAACGCTCGAGGCGCTTTGCCAATCTTCGCCACTTATGACTTGGGCGCGACATTATTCTCTCTCTGAAGAGTAGAGTGTACATTGTAACGGTACGTTCGAACCTACTGTACGGTCGTGGAACTTGGCCCCTTAGAGCAGCGGACCTGAAGATGATAGTTAGGTTCGACCGCCGGTGCCTTCGAAATTTGGCTCGCAGCTGGTGGAAGCCCGTGCGAGCAACGAGCGTGTTCGACGCCTTGTTTACAGGACAAGAAAGGGAACTGCACCGCTCATCATCGTTAGTTCACTCATCAGGCTCCGATGGTGCAACCACGTGTTGCGCATACCAGTGCACCGACTCCCGCAATATGCATTTTTAGCGTGCCCGGGGGTATGTTGGGAAGAAGAGGAGGGCTGGCCAAACGATGACTTGGTCGAGAGGAATGAAGGCCATTACTCCGGCTTTGGCCTCGGTTGAAGCGTCTCGGCTCCCTGGTTGGGGTCCGAAAGACGATGTACACGTTTGGCTGGATACACTTGCTGTCATGGCTAGGAGCCGACGTCAATGGTGTTCGTGCTGTGTGCTTTTTTGTCCCTCTTCATCTCTCTTAGTCTCCCCTTCAATCCATGGTCTTATTTCTTAGCATAATATAATTGCACCTAATATTTCTTGTGACATGGTAGCCGGCTCTCAGCTTTCCCGAAAGGTCTTCCGTTACTGGTAGCTCAGCTGGCATGTATCTGTTTTACTTTGTTTTTCTTTTCTTGTTATGTCTTGCGGCACAGTAGCTGAGGTTTTTTCCACTCTGGCTAACATGTATAATGATGAATGATGCTTTTCTTACAGCGTTCTTACTGCCTGGCCTAGCCTTCCTCGGTAGCTTGAACTGCTGGTCGATTAGAGTTGGGCCTCGCATCACAGCAGCCTCAGTCACAGCCAGAGCAGTTTGGATCGCAGTATGGTTGGATTCCTGTCCAGCAACTCCATCAGTCGAATTTGCTCCCTCATGTTTACAAACTAAAGTTGTGCGTGTAATTTTCATGGCTCCGGTGACCAAGCTGCAACGGCATAACTGGACGCAACTTCCTTTGCGCACCAGTTCTGCATCAAAATACAACTACTCATGAGTAATCTGAATTTACCGTCAAGCCTCAGTCTCACCGATTATGTCGCCCAACTTGTCACGCATGCTACCACATACCAAGTTACCGAATACTTCACCCATTTCAGGGTAATGTCAACTACACTCGGGCTCGTCAGTGTTTGATGGAAAGCAACCGGTTCTCAAAAGAAATATTAACCAAACTTTTCCCAATCATCGAGGCTGATTTGTCCGATTCCGGTGCACTCGACAATATGCTGGAGTTTCTTTGTCAAGCCGGTGACTATAGCTTACCGGAAGCTGTCAGGATGCTCATCCCAGAGGCGTGGCACAATGTGGATCCGAGTCAAGGTGACATGCCTCAGGCTAAGTGGGATTTCTACAAATGGGCTGCCAACAGTTGTGAACCTTGGGACGGACCAGGTGAGGCATGTTGTACGCCTGATGCACTGCACCCCCCACTGCAATTAGAACCCGATACATTTTGTGCGGTACCCAGCTGCTTTGTTCCTCAAGTCTAAAGGTACTGGTTTCGTTTACGCGTAGTTGCACCTGTTCAATCTCATACCACACTAGTTATTGTGTCTCCTTAGCTACCAAGAAACATAAACTTCCTTTTGGGTTTTGCTAATTGATCACTTATTTGTATATAAGCAGTTCCCACTATTCCACCGACACCATTACAGATTGCATATCAATTTTTTATTTCTCTAATGTATGTATTCTGAACTGTGATGTGAACCAGTTTGTTGGTAAATTTTACAAAGTTCGTCTTGTGCTCACTAGACCCAAAAGGATGTATCTGATTTCTCCTTAACAATGGTCTACTTTCAAGGCGTTTGCTCTGCCAGGGTACCGTAGACAACCTCACTAATTGTAATAAAAATGTGTATTCCACACCGCGTCAGCGCGAATAGATGTTAACGGAAATATACAACACGCAGTACTGTAACAACTCCCATAACCATTCATCACTATATCAATTGCCCGCTGAGTTCCTCGAGTAAACGTGTGTCTCTCACACCACAGCTTAGTGCGCATGGCACGCTATTTCTAGCATTACACCTTCTCACTTTTCCAGAGATCGTTTACTTCATAAAAACTAAGCACTACGGAAGCACACGAGAGTTGCATCTGACAACTTTTGCCTTTTAGTTGTTCATTAACGTTTTCTCCAACAATGTATTTTTACAGCCACAAATAAAGAAGTGTGCAAGACCTCAGTGCACTCGGAACTGTTGAATGCAAACTTAGTGGGATATACCACCAAATCATGCAAATTCAGTTATCATCCCCATAGTAAAACCGTAATTGACGAACCAGTGGATTAGATTAAGTGACCAGCTTATGAATAAAAGAAAAAACATCTTGGTTGAATAGTACGATCAATAACGGTTAGTCTGTTTGACACCACGTCAAAACACGACCAAGAGGGGTATGGAGGTGCTTACGAAGCCGTTCGAGGGATTACCCCGCATGGAAGTAGGTTTTGAAGAGACCGCTCCCAAGGATGACTGTATTACTTTGCTTGATCTTTCTTACTATACTTCCCTCTTTGCTTTGAATCTATTTTGGCTCTCGTTCCCTGTTATCTCAATTCCACCTTACCGTTAGTACCCATTAAGTCTGTCCTTAGACCGTGTCCTTGAGTTTACTCGACATGTCCTCCCTCACTGTGCCAAAATTGGTTTTTTGGCTGTACATTCTCCTTATCACCATGCGTTCGACGTTTTATACATGATAGTGCTCCGCTGATAACGTCTTGATGGGCGTGTCTCGCACTACGGCGAATAAATTTTCATTTGTTTATTTAACTGTTTGCTACCAGAGGAGTGCGGATACAATTCCCTTTTAGAAGTAATCAATCGTAAGCGTTGAAAGTTCTGCACCATAACAACCAAGTATTGATCTTGGTGCATGAATTTTGTCCCTGGAGGTCAGTGTGCACACGATAGTTCAATCGGAGCATGTGTTCAATGGGCATTAGTCCGCATGAGATTTATATGATACCGAAGTCTGATTTCGAATTATCAACAGCTCGTTAACCTTAAGCACAATAACCTAGCACCGGAGCAGACCGACAACTTGCGGCTTCCACGTGTCTACTATCCTGAACAGGTCATAGCCTCGCCTGGCATGAAGCTAACAGCATGGTATGTGTTAATTCAGGTGATTTCCAGGCCACGCCTGGTTCAATCTCTTGCATTGCGCAAATGGACTTCATAGAAAACGAAGTATTTTTCTCAACTCGTTTTCGGTCTACTGCTCTTGTCTGGAAGGAATGTGTTCCAACTACACAACCAGACTATCAGAAGTCAAATGCGTCGTTGTATCGACTAACCATGGAATCCCCCTTCCTTGTACATAGGCATACTCTGCGTTTCTACTGGATGAGGCGACATTTCGTTCACATCTAAACACTTCTTTAAACCCCCTTCCTTCGTTCTGGAGAGGGTTAACCGCACTTTGATGAGCGCCGCAAATATATTCAGGGAACGCTCTCTTCCGTCAGTTCTCCGCAAAAGTTTGCAATTTATTGGGACTTGCCACGCGACATACTGCCCATAATTTCCTCTCTTTCGGTTCAGACGTGCATTAATACATTGGATGTGCTCGTGAAGACAGCACAATTGTTATCTTCATAGCGCGCTACATAACCTTTGTGTCTGTCAGACTATTGAGGCTCCGATTTTATCTCACCACTTGTAAACTGGTTGGAGGTATTTACGAAGTAAGCCTAGCGAGTCAACCATGTTTTCTCTCTTTTCCAGCTTTCCGATTATTCAATACAGGGAGTTGGCCATTTATACTGCCACGTCTGGCATTCATCAAGAGCTGGGCTTGTAGTAGGTGTTCAGTAATTCGCCTTGACGATTATTCCTTTTTAACGGCACTAATCGGGGTATCGGACTACACCAATTTAGGAAATGTTCTGGATTTTGTAATGGTACCCGTGTATTGTTGAAATACGACTAATTCCATCTTCTCGTAAATATTCTAACTTAATAAAAGGAGGCGAGTGTTCTGTGGGTTTGAATTTTGCCAAAGTGGATGAGCAACAGGAAAAACCTAATTGCTGTATCTCATTGCACCCCAATCATCCACTTTACGATGTGATTCGCTCCGAGTAACATTCCAACGTAACTTAGACAAGGGGCAAACGGGCACAAGCTGTGCACATGCCTGATTGTGTACACGAATTCACTTGTTTACCGAATTGATCGGTTCATGTCATCAAACAGAGCTGATGTCAACCAAAATCCTTGCGCATTTCGCCTCCTCTTTCCATTTCCTACTCTATCCTGTCCTACCGCCCTTTTTATGCTCTACTCATTGTAACTAGAAAGGACTATAGAACGCTACTTGATGACCCCAGCTAGATGATCTAATCGGATGAGTGTTGTTTTTGGTTCTTTATCACCAAATAACGAAGTACCTGTTGCCCTGGTTTGCTTTCCGGGTACAAGAGACAAGCACTCAATCAACAATTATGCCGGATGTCACAGACACACCCACAGCATATCATACTTGCTTTCTTGCTTCAAATAGATCTCCATTGTCTTGAAACAACTGTGTTCACTTTTACTTCATCGACCGTCGATTGATCCAAATGTTACATGACACTTTAGCAAACGTATGTCACTCATTGCCAGGATTTTGTAACCGCGCTCTCACAAAGCAGCGTCGACAATTTGCATCTGTTGGTTCCAATAGTTAAAACTTTGTTGATATCTTGCACGAAGTTTAATATAGGTTTTTTAGCTCGTCCACAGCAGCTTATCGTGTATTTGGCAACAAATATGCTATAGTTACCAGACTGAGATGCTACTGTGAAACTTAGCGGCCTCATTCTCCATTTAGTAACGCCTTGCTATTGAGCTATACTGGGTGGGGCCCTTGGGCCCCTTGATGGCTATTTCTACCAGTTTAGTCAATGTTAAGAGGTCAGAGGAACTCAGTCTCTTTGTCCTCCAGGTTGGAGGTACGAAATGGGATGGCCTCCATTTCTGTAAAATCATATCATTACCACATCCACTGCCTTGCGAACAGGATTTTGAGTCAAAGGATTTGGTTAAGGACCCTGATCGTTCTCCTGTCTAGGTCTGGGCGTCACGGCAGTATCTCAGCCCACGTACTTTAACCAAATACTGCATCGGCAGTCGCGCAATTTATCAAAGGCCGCCTTATCAGGGTGGATATCCGAAAACATGCTCCTGCTGACTACTTGGCATCTTCCTCTAGCGGCCATGGGTTTGCTCCTCTTTAGAGGAACGAGGGAATGCGCACCACTGACGAGACCCAATAGGGCGAAACGAGTCTGGTGCTTTACCGGACTAGGCTCTGCTATGCAGCTTGTGAACTATTGTGATGAAAGCCTTATCAGATTTTCCAGTTTACTTAGCAGCAGTCACAATGCCAATGGAGTCACACCATTTGCAGCTATCTCTCCGCACCACCCACTGGACAACAATCGCTAACGGCTCCTTTTAAGGCTACACTGTCCCGTTTCCTTGGCGGCGTTCAACGTTTGCACTCTAAACGAATAGGTCAACAGGCTGCACTCGAACGCATGTTGGACACACTGGGTATAGACCTGTGTTACGTGTCAGAAACTAGGATCAATGGATGGTTACTGGGTCATTCTAAAGTATACGTTGGGCGATTGGATTGCGATACGCAATCTCAAGGTAGACCGTCGGATCAATGACTCTCACGGGGCTGTTGTAATAACTGCACCCAGTTTGTCTTCTTGCTGGCTTCCGGAAGAGCTGATGCGACAACTAATAGTCAGGCTGGAGTGGTCATTGATCTCATCCCCAATGCTGAGTCATCTTTAGTTGCTTAGATTCCCGTGGAAAGCAGTTGGTGTGCAGTCTGTTTGACGGCATCCACTGAGATCGATTCACGAAGTAGCACTAGACGCTGTTTGTTTGTGGTTTACGCTTATACCCACCGATTGCAGCTCTGATGCTGCCAAGGAGGCTTTCCATCACGAATTGAACAAGCAGCCATGCAATGTTACCACTCTTGTATGGGATATGCATGCGCAAGTGGGTCGAGTGAGCTCTTCGGAAGCGATGTTAAGCGGTAAGTATGGACTTAGCCTTGACGTCCTTGAATCTAGTGCAAATTCCATTAAAGGCAAAATGCTGGACGACAGAAAACTGTGAAACTTCTTATGCGCCTAATAGGCGTCCACGCCGAACTGACAGGCATGGTGCGCATCGTACAGCAAACACACTCACTCCACTATGGTAAACCACGGCTCTTACATGTGACACAACAATCAACGCACGAGGTTGAGGTGGTTCACCTGTCAGACAATCCTCTTCGGACGACATCATACGGCGCACGTATTTTTCCGGACGTCGCTTGGAGCGAACACCAGCGAAGGAGACCGAACCCGGATGACCGCCACCAGATGAGGAACGAAACGTCGGTATTCATTCATGGTGTCCCGGTGCTTCAGGCCCCGGATGCACCCGAAACCCAATGCCATGACTGGAAGGAGTGACGGCAC